ATGACATTGTGCAGTGATGCGCTCATGGACAAAGAAGTTCAGAACAGAATTAAAGATGTCCTCTGGGAAGTTGACAGTGTCTGCTACAAATGTACTATCAAACTGCAGTGAGATGGAACTGAAGACTTACAAGGCACGGGCACACCCCCTTTGAGACGTGGGACTTGCCACAAACGACGCATCTGGCTTCTGAGAAGTTTCCCTCATAGGATTTGTGAGCCCGTCTGAATATTGAGTGGCAAGACAAGGTCATCATCAGCAAACACTTGGAACACAGCCTCTGTGAGCTTTGGAATAATTCTTCCCACAACACGGCTCTGCTGAGCTGGATGTGTGTGCAAAATGGACTACAGCAGGCTTGCTAAGCAACTGTTAAAGTGCAAGCTGGGGTAGGGAAAAGCACAAGCTGAGCAGACAGAAGAAACGCCTCCAGGATTCACTGAAATGCGCCCCTGAGCAATGAGGCTGCCAGCAGCCTGCCGTGCAGCTGTAAGGAATGGGCTGGTTGTTCTGCAAGGGCTCTGGCTGCCTGTGAGTCTTAAAAAGCAGGACCATAAACAGTGACAGACTATTTAAATAACAGGCACAGCTGCTTACAAAACTTGACATGTGTTACGTGTGGACGAGATTGCTGGTCTCATTTTATTATCTTTGGCCATAGCTATGGATCTGATACAGGAAAGACATGTATATGTACACAAATACATATGTTACATTTTTATGCAAATAACATGCGTGTTATACATTTTCTGCCAACCATGCAGCCTCGCCCCCTGTGCGTTAATTTCGTAAGTGTGCCGTGTGTGTTATATTTAGAAAATACATTAAAAGTTCTGCTCTACTACTTTCCACATTTTCACCAAAACAAAAATCTAAGTAAAAAAGTTAGCAGTCGCGTTAAAATACTGCAGGTAGAGCGATGTAACGGTTTTAGTTTTTTATTCTTTACCCTACCCACTGCTGTCGAATCGATTCCGACTCATAGCGACCCCATAGAGTTGCCTGGGCTGTAAATCTCTATGGAAGCACATTGCCACATCTTTCTCCCGAGGAGCCACGTTGGTTTTGAACTGCCGACCTTTTGGTTAGCAGTCGATCACTTTAACCGCTGTACCATGAGAGCTCCTTTAATTCTTTACCAGTCTCATCATATTTTTGTTTTGTTTTATTGACAGAATTCTTAAAAGACTAATAGTGCACTAGAACCAATACCTTTAAATTTCAAAATACTTTTTAGTCTGCTTACTATGTACCATTTTCTAGTTGCTTTCCTGTGGGTTTCGTTCACAAGATTGCTTATTCATTTCATGTCTTCCTAGGGCCTGCCACAGTCATACTGTGTACCTAACTCCTAATGGGTGTTCAGTAAATAATTGTTTAATTGGACTGAACTCCAAAGATTGAGATGTCAGTGTATGGTGACCTCATAGATAGGCACATGGTTTTCACCAGCCTGTCTTATCCTTAGCAATTTCATGTAGGGGCCCATTTCCAGCAATCTGAACATGTATTTGCACCATGTTAACAACTTTTTACTTTTTTTGCCCGAAGTTTACAGTCTTCCTGGCTTCTCATGTCTTGCTGGATTAATTGAGTTACATACATGTGTCAGCTTTTGTGATATGAGGAAGAGAGATTCCATGATGAGCCTAGGTAAATTAAAAGCATGAGGCTGGAAAAGGGATAATAATTGATATAGTATATGGATGAATAAAGAATACATGTATGGGATCTGAAGGGCTACAATGAAGGCACAGCTGTAGAGAGAGAAAAGGTAGGCAAAGAGGCAGAGACAGTTCAAGGAAGAAGAACTAAGATTAGACAAAGTGATAGAGTATTCCTCTAATCCACAAAAAGAGAAAAATACTGTGCTGAGAAACCTCTAAACTTCACTGCTTAAAGGAGATGTGTTTTACATTACATGAAACAAAATATGCCTCTTTGTGTGCTTGGTTGCGTTTATTTATACACAGGTAGTCTCCAACTTAACAACGGGGCTCTGTTCTTATGACTCTGTTGTAAGTCAGTTCTGATGTAAGTTGAATACCTCTTTTTTTTTTTTTTTTAGTGTTCATTATTATTGCCTTTTATTATTAGTATCTTTATAAATCCAATCTTTGTCTTTGAGAGTTGCTATGAGAATGATAACATCAACACATTACACGCTGCAACACTGTATGTAGTACATATTACTAACAATAAGATGTCCAAAAAAAACCAGACGATCATAAGTGCAGTTCATCATAACTTGAATATGTACTAAGTTGGGGACTACCTGTATATGTTGAATGAAACCTGTGAGAGCCAGAACTCAATGGGACTGCTGTGTTTTTCTGGGTCTTGCAAGTTTTCCGCCTTTGACGGGGTACAGTCTCACCACTTTTCTATCGCTACTCTGTTAGTAGAAAATATTTGAGCTTTCCTTCTGTGACAGGTTTCCACCTTCCACGGGTTCCAGCTTTTGCAGGTTTTACTGTATATATGTGTGTGTGTGTGTGTATTCTTAATTCAGATTTGTGGACCTGTAAAATTTGAATGAGCGTGTGATTTTTGACATCCTCAAAACATGAATAATATTTTTACACATAAATGACTTTGTATATATGAGAAAATTTCATGGTTAAGCATTGCTATTTATACTTTGATGAATGAAATATTGGAATTTTTAACTAGGACTTCGAACCGGTTCTTCCCGGTTCAGTCATGGCTGAGGAAGTGAAACTGTAACAGACCTGAATTTTTAAAATTTCGGTGATCAGGAACCATAACTGGAAAAAATTACAAGTCTAACCCTTGCTAGAAACCTAATCTGCCTCTTAGAAAACAAGGGGAGCATATGCATTGCATAGCAACCAACTCTCTTGCCCATAGAATTTTGAGTAGAGTCAGAAACAGTGGTGCCTTGCTCAAAGATGGCAGCTGTCTTAGTTATCTCTAGTGCTGCTATAGTAGAAATACCACAGGTGGATCGTATCTAGTGCTGCTATAATAGAAATACCACAGATGGACGGCTTTAACAAAAAGAAATTTATTCTCTCACAGTCTAGGAGGCTAGAAGTCCAAATTCAGGGCTCTAGCTCCAGGGGAAGGCTTTCTCTTTCTACCGGTTCTGGGGGAAGGTCCTTATCATCAATCTTTCTCTGGTCTAGGAGCTTCTCAGCACAGGGAGCCTGGGTCCAAAGGACGCACTCCGTTCCCAGCACTTCTTTCTTCATGCTATGAAGTCCCTCTCCTCTCTGCTCCCTTCTCTCTCTCTTACATCTCAAAAGAGATTGACTTGCCTCTAACCCTGCCTCATTAACATCACAGAGGAGGTTAGGATTGACAACACATAGGATAATCACAACAGATGACAAAATGGTGGACAACCATGGGAATCATAGCCTAGCCAAGTTGACACACAACCTTAATGATCACAGGGGCCGACTGTGCCCCTTTAAATGTGTGTCACTCTCCACAGTCCTGCAATCCAATCTCACACATCAGGCTCCCGAAAGGGCTCACCACGCCTCTTCCGAGTCTCCCATCTAGAGCTTCAACTCGTGATTTTTCCCATTCTGGTTATGGTACTAAATCACCCAAGTTTTAAAAATTCCGACCTGTTCTAGTTTTGCTTCATTGACCTGACTGAACCGGTTCAAACTGATTCAAAGCCCTGTCTCTAATACAGAATCAGAGAAAAATTTTGGATGTAAAAAATAAATTGATAAATTGCAGATAGACGTATTTTGAATTCCTGTACTTTCAGCTTTGCATACTTTTTTTTTAAAGTTACTTTTTCTTAGTTTAGGACAGTGGTGAATAAAGTAATTGATTTTCCATTGCATTACTAAGATTGTTAGATAGGGATGGTCTGTATTGCCCTCTATTGGTAATTAGTAGCAACATTTGACAAAATTGGTGCTACATAGGCCATTTACATGTACTTAATAATTGTATCTATTGGTATATTTTATTTTTTCTTATTGTACTTTAGATTAAGGTTTACAGAGCAAAATTAGTTTCTTGTTAAACAGTTAATACACATACTGTTTTATGACGTTGGTTGCCAACCCCATGACATGTTAGCACTCTCCCCTTCTTGACGTTGGGTTCCCCATTACCAGCTTTCCTGTCCCCTCCTGTCTTCTTGTCCTTGCCTCTGGGCTGGTGTGCCCATTGAGTCTCATATACATGGTTGAGGTATGTGTATTATTGTTTGTTTTATGGGCCTGTCTAATCTTTGGCTGAAGCGTGAACCTCAGGAGTGACTTCCATACTGAGTTAAAAGGGTGTCTGTGGGCCATACTCTCAGGGTTTCTCCAGTCTCTGTCAGACCTGTGAGTCTGGTCTTTTTTTTTTTTGTGAGTTAGAATTTTGTTCTGCATTTATCTCCAGCTGTGTCTGAGACCCTCTATTATGATCTCTGTCAGAGCAGTTGGTTGTGGTAGCCAGGCACCATCTAGTTGTGCCGGACTCAGTCTGGTAGAGGCTGTAGTAGTTGTGTTCCATTAGTCTTTTGGACTAATCTTCCCCTTGTGTTTTTGGTTTTCTTCATTCTCCTGTGCTCCAGACAGAGTGGGACCAATGGAGTATCTTAGATGGCTGCTCACAAGCCTTTGAGACCCCAGACGCTACTCACCAAAGTAGGATGTAGAACATTTTCTTTATAAACTATGTTATGCCGTTTGAGCTAGATGTCTCCCGAAACCATGGTCCCCAGCCCTCAGCCCAGTAATTCAGTCCCTCAGGGAGTTTGGATGTGTTATATGAAGCTTCCATGACCTTGCTTTGGTCAAGCTGTGCTGGCTTCCCCAGTATTGTGTACTGTCTTATCAATTGGTATATTTTAAAGAAAAGAACTTATAAAAGTTGACCTAGTGGTTGTGGCTGTAAATTATCAAAAGGGAGAAAAAATGAGATTTTGAGCTTCTTGATTTAATATCTTTATTGAATAAGGTAGTATTGAAGTATCTTTGCCTTTGATTAATTTTTATTCATATTAATTTTTCTTTTGTCAGAGCTCCACCCCAGATAAGGCGTCTCAGTCGAGAAGTAAGACCTCTGAGGAAAGAAATGCCTGGAGTAGGAGCCCGGGGACCTGTAGGCCGAGCACATCCTACATCCAGGAGTGAAAAGCCCTCTGCGAGTAAGGACAAGGATTATAGAGCCCGAGGGAGAGATGACAAGGCAAGACTATTTCTTTGTAACTCATTCACTTGAAACCTATGTCTTTTGGTGGGCATTATGATTTTTGTTGGCTTTTCAGTGTACCCTGGTTTTGACATGAAGAGTAGAAAAAATAGGTCTTTTCATTTTGAAGGCCATGCTGCAATGCAGATAATCTCAGAAGTATATTAAAAAATGCACACACACACACACAATCTTTAGTAAAATAGATTCTTTGTAGCAATATTTAATAAGAAGTCAGAAAACTTTGGAAAAAATATTTTAGCAAGTATTCTGTATTAAAATGAACAACAAATGAAAAAATAATTGTAGGAGAAAGACAAGGAAATAGATGTATATATTCACAGAATAAGTCGATAGATATGATTTACTGCTGTTAAAAATAAAAAAAAAAATATCCTTGGTTTATTTGTAGATTTTAGAGTAGAACAAGTTTTTTTTTTTTTTTCCTTTTTGAGAAAATTTCCCTTGACCAGGGTTCATTGTGCACTTTTACTTATCTGGGAAATTGAACGTTGAATAGACAGTAGTGTTGAGTGATAATTTTCTACTGCCCTTAAACTGGAGTTTAGGAAAATGGGTTGGAGATAATCTTACAGAGTAAGGAGCTAGCCAGAATGACATGATACATGTCTTAGCCTTAATTTTAGTAATAAGAGAAAGATAAGTTTTTAGCGATAGTGTTTGCCATTTCCATTGTGATGTCATAAAGGAATGATGATGCTACTAAATTGCTGCAGAGAAGTTTTATTTTGTGTAGTTGGGATTCACGATCTGTCATCACCTTCCTGCCGTGATACGTATAATGAAGATATAACCTATTTAAATTTCCCGAGTATTTCTATTCATGAGATACGTTCAAAGATGTATTCTACCTCTCTGCCTCACTAAAACCAAAAAAAAAAAAACCATTGCCATCGAGTTGATTCTGACTCCCAGTGACCCTAGAGGACAGAGTAGAACTGCCCCGTAGGGTTTCCAAGGAGTGGCTCGTGGATTCAAACTGCTGATCTTTTGGTTAGCAGCTGTATCACTTAACCACTATGCCACTGCCTCACTGGGACGCTGAAAATGAATTAGGAAATAACCAGTTTTATCTTATCAATTCTAAATATCCCCAAGGTCTAGGAAGCTGGTCTGTTTAGTGTCCTTATTTACCACTTGAAATTACAAGTAGTAGAAATATTCAGATATAGTATAAAATTGTAAAGGATAACCATTTGTTAAGTTATAGCTTCATTATAAGTATCATGGCATGAAGATAACTGATTCTGAATCCCTAATTAGGAAAATAAGTTAATGTACTAATTGTTGTACCCCGGTGGCTTGGATGTTGGTATTATGCTGGAAACTATGCCACCCAGTATTATAAATACCAGCAGGGTCACCCATGGTGGACAGGTTTCAGTGGATCTTCCAGACTAAGACAGACTAGAAAGAGAGGCCTGGTGATCTACTTCTGAAAATTAGCCATTGAAAACCGTATGGATAGCAACAGAACATTGTCCAATGTATTACTGGAAGATGAGCCCTTCAGATTGGAAGGCACTCAAAATATAACTGGAGAAGAGCAGCCTCCTCACAGGAAAGTTGACCTTAATGACACTAATGGAGTAAAGTCTTTGGGACTTTCATTTGCTGATGTGGCATGTCTCAAAATGAAAATTAACAGCTGCATGCATCCATTAGTTGTCAGAATGTGGAATGTACAATGTCTGAATCAAAGATAATTGGAAGTTGTCAAAATGAAATGTAGCTCTTGAGGATCAATATTCTAGGCATTAGTGAGCCCAAATGAACTGATACTGGCCACTTTGAATCCAGCAATTATGTGGTCTACTATTCTGGGAACAACAAATTGAAGAGAAACAGGGTTGCATTAATCCTTAAAGAGAATACTTCAAGATCTATCCCAGAGTACAACATGATCAGTGATAGGTTAATATCCATACACCTGCAAGGAAGACCAGTTAATACAACAATTTAAACACCAACCACAATTTCCAAAGATGAAGAAATTAAAGATTTTTACCACCTACAGTAGTCTGAAATTGATTGAACTTGCCATCAAGATGCATTGATAATTACTGGTGACTGGAATGTGAAAATTGGAAACAAAGAAGAAGGATCAGTAGTTAGAAAATATGGCTGTGGTGACAGAAACGATGCTGGAGATCATATTTATAAAATTCTGCAAGACCAACAACTTAGTCATCGGAAATACTTTTTTTTCCCAACAACGCAGTGGACGACTACAAACAGTGACCTTGCTGTGTGGTTTACATAGGAATCAAATTGACTACATCTGTGGAAAGAGATGATGGATCAGCTGAGACAAAGCCAGAGGCCAGCTGTGGAACAGACCATCAGCTGCTCGTGTGCAAGTTCAGGTTGAAGCTGAAGAAAATCAAACCAAGTCCATGAAATCTAAGATACAACCTTGAATACATCCCATCTGAATTTAGAGACCATCTCAAGAATAGATTGGACACACTGAACATTAACGATTGAAGACCAGAAGAGTTATGGGAAGACATCAAGGAATCATACGTGAAGAAAGTGAAAGGTAGCTAAAAAGACAGGAAGTAAGGAAAATACTAAAATGGGTTTCAGGTGAGACTCTGAAACTTTCTTTTAAGTGCAAGGTAGCTAAAATGAACAAAAGAAACGAAGTAAAAGAGCTGAACATAAGATTTCAAGGACATCTCAAGAAGACAAGGTGAAGTATTATAATGAAATGTGCAAAGACCTGGAGATAAAAAACCAAAAGGGAAGAACACAATCGGCATTTCTCAAGCTGAAAGAACTGAAGAGAAAATTCAAGCCTCAAGCTGCAATACTGAAGGATTCTATGGGCAAGTAATTGAATGACACAGGAAACATCAAAAGAAGATGAAAGAAATTCACAGTCACTGTACCAAAGAGAATTGATCAACATTCAGTCATTTCAGGATAGCTTATGATTAAGAACTACTGGTACTGCAGGAAGACGTTCAAGCTGTACTGAAGACATTGGCAAAAAACAAGGTTCCACGAGTTGACAGAATACCAATTGAGATGCTTCAACAAATAGATGCAATGCTAGAAGCACTTACTAGTCTATGTCAAAAAATTTGGAAGACAGCTACCTGGCCAACGGACTGGAAGAGATCCATATTCATGCCTGTCATGGGTTAAATTGTATCCCTGAAAAATATGTGTATCAGTTTGGCTGGACCATGATTCCCAGCATTGTGTGATTGTCCACCATTTTGTCATCTGATGTGATTTTCCTATGTGTTATGGATCCTACCTCTGTGATGTTAATGAGGTGGGATCGGCGGCAGTTATGTTGATGAGGTAGGACCAACCTACAGGATTGGATTGTGTCTTGAGCTAGTCTCTTTGGAGATATAAAAAAGAGAAGCAAGCAGAGAGACAAGGGGACCTCATACCACCAAGAAAGCAGCACAGGGAGCAGAGTGTGTCCTTTGGGCCCAGGTTTCCTGGGTGGAGAAGCTCCCAGACCAAAGGAAGATTGATGACAAGGACCTTCCGCCAGAGCTGACAGAGAAAGCCTTCTGCTGGAGCTGACGCTCTGAATTTGGACTTCTAGCCTCCTAGATTCTGAGAAATAAACTTTTTGTTAAAGCCATCTACTTGTGGTATTTCTGTTACAGCAGCACTAGATGACTAAGACAGTGCCCATTTCAAAGAAAGATGATCCAACGGAATTTCTCAAACAATATCATTAATATCACATGCTAGTAAAATTTTGCTGACGATAATTGAAAAACAGTTGCAGCCATACATTAACAGGGAACTACCAGAAGTTCAGGCTGAATTCAGAAGAGGACATGGAGCGAGGGATATCATTGCTGATGTCAGCTAGATCTTGGCTGAAAGCAGAGAATACCAGAATGACATTTACTTGTGTTTTATCGACTGTGTGAAGGCATTCAAGTGTGTGGATCATAACAAATTATGGATAACCTTGCAAAGAATGGGAATTCTGAACACTTATCTGTGCTCATGCGGAACCTGTACGTGGATTGAGAAGCAGTTGTTTGAACAGAACAAAGGATGCTATGTGATTCAGAACTGGAAAAGGTATGTGGTAGGGTTATATTCTTTCACCTTACTTATTTAATCTGTATGCCGAATAATCCTGAGAAGCCAGATGACATGAGGAAGAACCGGCATCAGGATTGGAGGAAGGCTCATTAACAACCTGTGATATGCAGATGACATAACCTTGCTTACAGAAATGAAAATGAAGATGAATTGAAGTGCTTACTGATAAAGGTCAAAGACTACAGCACCTGAACGTGAAGAAAACGAAACTCCTTGCAGCTGGACCAGCAAACGATGTTATGATAAATGGAGAAGAAATTGGAGTTGTTAATGATTTGATTCTACTTGGATCAACCGACAGTCAATGCCCATGGAAGCAGCAGTCAAGAAATCAAACGATGTGTTGCTTTTGGCAAATCTGCGTAAGACCTCTTTAAAATTTTAAAAAGCAAAGGTGTCAGTTTGTGGATTAAAGTGCTCCTGACCCAATCCATGGTCTTGTCAGTCACCTCATATCATATGAAAGCTGGGCAGTGAAAAGGGAGGACAGAAAGGGAATTCATGCATTTGAATTGTGATGTTGGTGAAGAATGTTGAATATACCGTGTGTCTTAGTCATCTAGTGCTGCTATAACAGAAATACCACAAGTGGATGGCTTTAACAAAGAGAAGTTTATTTTCTCGCAGTCTAGTAGGCTAGAAGTCTGAATACAGGGCACCAGCTCCAGGGAAAGGCTTTCTCTCTCTGTTGGCTCTGGAGGAAGGTCCTTCTCATCAGTCTTCCGTTGGTCTGGGAGCATCTCAGCGCAGGAACCTCAGGTCCAAAGGACGTGCACTGTTCCCGGCTCTGTTTTCTTGGTGGTATGAGGTCCTCATATCTCTCTGCTCGCTTCTTTCTTTTATCTCTTGTAAGATAAAAGGTGGTGCAGGGCACACCCCAGGGTAAC